AGCTTAGGCCATCTGGAGCCTTTGTTGCGCGGTCTTGGGGCTATGTTGAGCATAGCTTGCGTCCAGCACATTTCCACAACGAAGCCCTTTAGAAAAGAGGTGCAGGAGCCCAGAAGGTGCTGCAATGTGTCAGACCCTGCCGAGAGGCATTTGAGGGGCACGTGCCAGCGCCTAACGTCGGCTTCGAAACCCTATAGAAAAGAGGTGCAGGAGCCCAGAAGAAGAAGTGCTGCAGTATGTCAGACCCTGCCGAGAGATGCAGGCCAAGGCGACGGCGCTTGACATTGCAAGGCCCATCCACTGGCTACATCACCCAGTCATCCCAGTTCCACCTGAAGTCTCTGACACGACACGGCATGTGTCTGCATTCCTTTGTCCAACTGTCCTTTGCGACGCGAGGATGACTTAGCCATCCGCGCATCGCACATTGCCCGACGATCATCACCAGGACGCGCAGCGACGCAGATTTCTTGGTTCGATGTTGAAGGTCGCAGTTGGAGCATAAGGGCATAAGGCAAATTTTCTTCGAATCGGGTGGTTGATTCGAAGAGATACCCCTGGTCGTGTACAGCCCATATAGATTGTGTATGTGTATGCTAATTTAGGAGACCTCCCAAACAACGACCCCCTAGAAGAAGGAACATGCACGGGTTCTACCCAGCCAGGGTGATCTGGTCTCTTCCTCCTAAAATACTGTACGTTACATACCCGGTAACGGTTTAGTGGTACCTGTCATTGGCTCCTTGATTCATTGAGGTGCCACCTCAGACCACACCCTTCTCTCCCGGCTCACGAGTCACTGTCTCTCGCACCGGTGCTCTTTGAGTGAACATGTCAGTGGAAAACCATCCAATTCTTAGAGCAAAATGGTCTTCCAGGGGCCATATCCTCCACTTCCCTGATTGTTTCAGGGAGTGTATCAATTCTTGGTGGACGAGTTAGTTAGTTGCTGAACTCAATCCAGAGCGTTGAGATTCCTAGAATCCACACAAACTGAAACCCAAGGCATGCACGACTAAGTGATGTTCCAAAAAATTAGCCCGTCAGTGCTAGGTAACCTCGAACAGGTCATAAATTAAAGAAAGTATGAGAAAAGCCTCACGTCCCACCTAACGTCGTGAAGACTTACTGTATTGGAGGTGCTGACTGGTGATCCCTTCTCAATCTTTCGAGGCAAGATATGCATATGTAATCAAATCATATGCATACATGTTTTCTAGTAACTATAGTAACTAGAAGCTACTAGGGCTACTAGGTTGGAGGTCATCGCTACTCGTAGCAATAAAGCTTCATAGGCCTGTTTTTTGGGGGGGACCTTTCTTGCTTTAGATTTGCCTTTCTTCGCATGTATATATATATATATAGTTGCACGGTATTGCGCACCTATATTATATCGGACGCGCGACATGCTTCGGTCAAACCATGCTGCCAGGAGTTGTGAAAACCCTTCGAAACAAGTTGTGGATGACGAATACAAGAGTATCCGACGGTTCCGATGGCGCCTTGACACTGCGTTTGTTCAGGCACTGCAATATCGCTGGAATGTTTGAGCTCTGTTTGTGAAGGTCCCTGTGTAAATCATTTGCATTTGCCATTACAGAGAATACAGAACCCCCACCTTCACGGCTACGTTTTGAAGAACACTACAGGTGTTTCATGTGCCTGATTGCTTTGTATACTATGGACTTTCATGGACCATTGGATTTCATCTTACCAACATATTGTTGCGAATGGGTGTGGCATTGGTAATGAGCATTGATAGGGAGGCAAAACCACCAAGCACACACACAGAGTGTTCACTGCTCCTTCTTTGCAAAAAGGAAGCTTTGACGTCTCCGCATCCCGAACCCGTCGAAGGCCGTCGAATTGCCAGGTAGGACACCCCGGAAAAGAACATCTTCTTTAAACGGGCGGTTGGTGTTTAGTGCCCTCCAGTGCGTTTTGCACGAGGATTCTGTTTCTTTCCAGTTGGTTGCTATGTTGGCTTGAAGCCTCCTTTCATATCTTGGAAAGAATGGCTGCAAGATCTACAGAATGGATCCAAATTGTACGTTCAGCATTGAGGTGGATCCAGCGCCGGTCACGAAGACGTGATGGCAACGATCAAGGAAGAGATGACCAGCCATGCATTCTGACAAGACGCCCTTGGTGCCGGGTGGTGACAGTGGCCTCATCACCTTGAATTGGCCGTAGATTAGAAATCTTTGAGGCATCCAGCTGACTGAAAGTTTGGAAGGATGCAAATTATATACTGTATATCAGATGGCTTTTGCCTGACAAGACAAGTCTGGCAATCAACTGCCACCTGTACTTGAGTTGCATTGCGTAATTTGCCGAGCCGTTTGAGCTTTGTCAAAGTCATCCAAATCTATCAAGTGAGAGATTAGACCCATGACAAAGAATACTGCATGCTTTGAACAGCTTTTGGTGTGGTTCATGCACTTCTCAACGTAGCTTGACGATGTCAGTCTTTAAAAGACGGTCATGTCAGCACAATCAGTCACCGTTCCGGTCCGTCCGGCAGCGTTCTGTGGGCGCTGATTTTTGAGCTCTGAAGACCGTAGAAAGCGGGTAAGGGAGATGCGATGGATGGGTTGGATGGGTTAGATGGGTGAAGATTTCTTTGCACTAGCTGCAGACACCGCGGCACTTCATGCGAGGTTGTTGGTCTTTTTGACACTCTGCGTTTTTTTTTGACTCGCTTGTGCTGAAGAGTTCAGCTCCAATCCCCAGCATGCCTGCAGTTAGGGTAGCTTCAAGTAGCCAGAAATAGTAATCTCAAATTGTTTTCTGTCCACGCGACGTCGTTGCACACCTGCAGGTACTGTTGCCCACTGCAAAGTCTTTGCACTTGTGAAGTGCAACAGTTTGCTTCACGATGTTTGATCGACCAGTTGCCGTCCCTGCACGGGGAGCAGGTGGGGTCCTTTTTCGTTGAGACCCTCTCTTTGAGAAAAGACCTTGGAAAAAGTCCTGTTCCCATAGTCCTGTTCCCATACAGTAGCTATGTACCTATCATATCCGGTTTCTTTCTCCGGTCGCATTTGTCCGAGGCTTTCTCTCTCTCCTCTCTACACATGCTGATCTTGTCAGAAAGGCAACTGCTGCGGTTTGTTGGAGGGTTTCTGAGCGGGCACGTGCCCACAGTGTGGCATTGGCTTGGGATTTGTCCACTCTGAGGCCAAACCGCCATAAAGTTTGTGACTTGTGATATTGTACATGTTGTTTCCGTAGCATCTAGAAGTCCGAGTCCAGCAAGTTTGGCCCACTTCCAGACATGTTTATTTGCACTGTCAGGCTCTCCTTGGTATCCCAAATACAAGAATCTAGACCTTCTTTGCTTTGGGTGTTGACACCTCAAAAGGGGCAGAAAATCCACGGTCGAGCCATGAGATGCCAGGAGCTGGAGTGGCCAGGTTGAAAGAACTGGTGGCACTGATAATTCGGAGTGTCAATGTCTGTGGCTGAAGTCCACTTTGTAAAGTACTAAGTACAAGTTTGTTTCTGAGATTTCCAGGGTTGGCCCACCAGTCACCAGCTCGGCGGATCAAACTCGGATGTTGCACAAGGCGCCAAGTATGATGAGTATGTATGACCCGTATATCAACTGCTAAGAACAGGGTCTGCAGATGTGGATGTCGTTGGATGACCTGACTGGTGTCGGTAGGTCATGCCATGGTGTCTGCAGAGGAATGGCCTTCGCTTCCCGAGAATGCACCGGGCAAGTGGACGAGTTGCTCTTTGCAACAGGCAAGGAGTGTGGCCATTCATTGCATGATCAAGTCACAGTCTTCAGGTGGGCCAGCCTAGAACATGAAACATCAGCAATATATATCAATATACTGTAAATTTGACAGGAGCCTCGAGCGAGTGATATTACCAAGAGACCTGCAAAGTTTGACCTTTCTCAGTAAGTTCAACCAGAGCCTCGAACGAGTGACCTTCCCAAACAAGCTTCACATCTTGACATTTTGCGAGAAATTCCTCGGGAACTTCTTCGACCAGAGTGTGAAACATCTGACTTTGGCCGAACATCTTCACAGTCTCAGTGTTGGTGGCTCGCTGGTGAGCAGAGTGCAAGTTGCCCGATTCGAGGTTGGCATGGTGCCCGGATCGAAGGCATATGTTGGCCATGAAGATCTCAGGATCATGTCCCGATTTTGTGGCAAGTTCGGTGGTAAATGGTCACTAGACAAGTTCCTGTTCTTGGGCAGGCCGTTAGCAGCGAGTTCTCCTTTGACTCACTGAAGTCCTTGAATGAAGAGGCTGCCAAGATTGCCGCAGGTGAGAGGAACTGGCCTGGAAAATGTTTAGATTAGATGTCAAGTTATCAGAAGGGCGTGAAACAAACTAAATGATTAAAACAGGCTTGTGGTCGAGGAAAAAAACACTGCAACAAACACAGGGAACTTGATATGCCCACAATCGCCATTGCGAATAGAATGGAAGATATCGTGGTTTCCCAAGAATCTTAGTAGCAAGTTCCCTGTAATTATATAAGCATTCTTGAACAAGGGGATTCACGCAACTAGACAAGGGTTGTAGGGCTGTTCCTACTTGCAGCAGGAAAGAGGCCTGAAATATCCCAACTTCTTGTTCCTGCCGCCGTTCTGCCCTTTGCTGTGCAAACTTTGGGGTCCCCTGCCATTGTAATCCAGGTGAGTTCTCCATCAGCCAAGCCGACGAGGCGGACACCAAGGAGGATTGAAGCCTGGGCCAAACACCCCAGCTTCGGCGTTTTGGTGACTTGGAAAAAGGTATCTTGACACAAAACAACCCTGCCAACCTTAATGTGATCAACAAAAACTGCCTGTTTGAGACTTGGTCCGTTTGCAGCAATTTTGGATGGACCCCACGGCCCGAAAGCTACTACTTCACGCAAAGAAAGGTGAGTTTTTTCAGACTCACATCCTGGTCTCCAAAAGCGTCCTGAGGGACACAAGAAGAAGTTGCCAGGGCCAAAGGTTGTGGAGGATATTTATGGGACTTGTGATGGACATGAGACATGGACGCCAACTATGTCTCAAGAACTTCCGCAATTGGTCTAAAAAAGATGGCATCGTCCTGCACTGGGCTTTTACAATTTAAAACCTACAGCGGCATCTCATAGCTGAAAGGCAAACAGAGCTTGCAACCAGTGCACCAATTGGTATACACAAAATGAAGGCATGGATTTCTGGCTGCGGGAATTGATCAAAATTTGGTCCATTTTGTGTGTGTGTGTGTTTTTTTTTTAAAGGGACTTGAGCTAAGAAACCATTTGAGGATTCATGTTGACTGTGAAGGATGACTAGCTCGATTGAGGGAATTCTTCTCAACAGGAAAACACTTTCTGGATCTCAACCGCCGGAATCAAACCAGACTCTCCATTTTGTCCATACTAATTTCAAAATGAGAGAGAGAGAGAGAGAGATAGAAAGTGATGTTTCAGCCCCAAGCAACAACTGGCTGTTTTTAATCACCTATTGTCAATGCTATTTGAGGGACAGCTGCGTGTAGGAGCTCCAGTCGGCTCTCCAGCAGATCTGCCAGTGCTGCAAGGAGCAGGCAGTTGCTGCTAAAGTTGATATACGGGTCGCTGTACAATTTTTGTTAAAAGTTTCTATATGCTTACTGTACATATCATAGCAGAGCTTTAAAAGAAACACACATATTTGGTCTACCATTTCTGTGGAGCACTTTTCCACCGTTTGCAGGTTGTGACCTTCCAATTTTGTGGAAGACGTCCTGAAAGTAGAGAGGTGGAGGCGACGGAAACGGCCATTTTGTTTGTTTCGACAGGGGATAAGACTGCGGGGGAAAGCTACTGGAACAGGTCGTGAAACCTTCTCAGAATAGAGCAACCAATTTTTCTGGCGAAAGCTCTGTGAATCCTCAGTGTTGGCAAATAAAGCATGATGAAACAAAATCCACGAAATGATATGGTAAACTCAGCAAACTATACCGCTTTATTTTTGTGGTTTACCACAGCAGAATTGGATGGTCGGTCAGCCATATTTAAGGGCGTCGAAAAGCTTCGTTGCCCGCAGACTTTTGCTGCTCATGGCCAGCAGTCGCAAGGTTAGAACACAAGTGAATAGATAGCATGAATAGCACAAGCAATGCAAGCCAGAAACGTGCACTGGCCAAATCAATTCGAACAGAGCCATTGCAATGTCCTTTGTTCCCAAACATTCACAGGTTTTCCCACCCCAAACCCATTTCAACAAGCTATGCACTTGTAGCAACCCAGTAAGTTGTGGATATATTTCGACCCAGGCCAACTCTCAGGTAGGTGCCCGTTTCAGCTGCATCCGTTTCGTTCGCTGCGCGATGCATTTGGATCTCTCGTTTTTTTCGTTGGCCTTGGTGGGATTTTTTGCTGGAATCAGCTCGGGGCTCTTGGTGAAACTCTACAAGGCACTTCTGGGTCCAAGATTTATTTGGTGTATCGCAACGAAAATCTTCAGGGAGATGTCATGTTTTAGATCAAAGTTTGATAGAACTATACCAGCTATTGAAGACGCAACATTTGGTGAATCTTGATGTTTCAGATCTTGTACTGTAACGCTAGAATTTTCTCTATTGTGGACCAAAACCGTTTACCAGACGGCGGCCAGCTTCCCCTGAGGTCATCTTGGAGACTTTCCTCACACTCATATGGACGCGGCTTCCAGCCGCACTTTACGCCTTGGGCTGGAGTGATGAGGTGCGGATGTGCCATTTTGAATGACCTTAGAGTCATAGCACGTTTCTTCGCCATATGGGCCATAGCCACATTCACACCAGAAAGCTCCGCTGTGTTGTGAGATGTTGTGAGGCTTCTTTCAGCCTGTTGAATCTGACCTGGATCTTGGGCGCCTTCTTTGGTGCCATGGTGGGCTTGGGCCGGGCCTACCTGCCGGAGGAGGCCGTCACCAACATGAACGTCTGGGTCCAAGCACTCCATGGTCCCAGTGGCTGTGCCGCGTGCGGGCCTTGGGTCTTGGGACTGGTGGTGCTCTCGCTGTTGACGGCCTTTGGAGGGGCTTCAGTGGGGCCTGAGCCAGTGGTGATCATCATGCCATCTGTGGTCTATGTGGGCATGGTGAAAAGATTGCTGAACCCTTCAGTGCAAGTGTTGAGAGTGGCAGCACTAGCAGGGGGAGCAGCAGGTTTAGCAGCGTTTTTCGGCCTGCCTTTGGCCAGTGCCTTTTTTGCGATGGAAATTCCACACATGGACGGAGCCGAATTTGCTCTAGAGGCCTTTTCAGCCTGTGTGGTTGCAGGTGTGGTTGGAACCATTGTGGGGCACTGCATCTGGGAGCCCCAACAACTGCTGGGCAACAGTCGCTTTTGGTTTCCTGGGGGGCGATTCTCCAGACCAACCCGAGATCGCCTCCCGGCAGTTTGGCATGGGTGCAGTGGCCATGGGCATTTTGGCTGGTATCGTGGGGGGGCCTCACGTCCTACCTGCTGGTGACATTAATGAGGCGAAAGAACCAAACGGCAGACATAGCAAGAGAGCTAGCTAGCTAGGAGGGAATGAAGATGAAGGAAGGAAGGCAAAAGATATATAGATACCCCTTGCCAATTCACCCCTGGGGCCCTGGGGCGCTAATTTTAGAGAATTAGGGGCTGGCCTGAATTGGAGCCCTATAAAATTCTAAACTTCTAAACCTGATCCAGAACACAAGTCAAACTCACTACAAAATTGACATACCACGCATACTCCCGAACAGGCCTTTTCACCTCGCTTTTTTTTTGCCTATAAAGTTGGCAGCTGTGAACCTAGGCGTTTTGTGGATCCTCGAACGTGTGTCTTCCAAAAAAAGTGATTAAAACGACCATGTCTAAAGTATCAGATCTCCAAGTTGCTAATTCTATGTGGCTTGAAGTTTTTCTGTACTGCGCACAAACTTTCGAGCATCAAAGTTGCCATTCCTAAAGTCTTCTTTTCACAGGATGCCAATTCGATTGGCTGCCAATTTTATTTCGGACACCCTTTGGGCCTATAAAATCGAAGACACACTCAGGATCCCAAGGATTAATCAGGGTGGTACCTCCGAGATTTGGGAATCATGGCCCCTGTGTGCTTCGAATAAAATTGGGCGCTGGATAAAATCAGCAACCCTGGAATTGGTGGCTTTAGAAAGCAAGCCAGACTTCCTTAAAAAAGTTGCTCCCTATAAAGTTGGAAGCCAAATACAATAAACAACCCCAGACTCGACAACACTGCCTCTGACCACTATATTTTTTGCAACATGGGTTCCAAATAAAATTAGAGATCCACTTTGATGGCCCTATAGAATTGGAAGAATGCAGAGCAGGGGGCACGGCCACCCGATATAAAACGCCAACTTTATTCAACACCGAGCTATGCCAATTCTATAGGGGAAACTGTATATAGATGATACATCGAGAAATAGTATATACACGCATATACACGCATAGATGCATGGATATCTAGATACATCTATACATGTACTAGCATGTACATACAATATAATGTAGACAAAAAGTTCTATGTGTGTTTCATTGGGATCTCTATTTCAATAACTCCTGTTCGTCAGGGGCTGGCATCCTTTCTTCGAACACATCAAGCACATCAAACATCAGCACAGATGGAGGGCCTTGCGCTACAGCTGCCTACTGGCGGTGGTGGGGGGCCGCCAACGCAGCCATGTCCTTTCTCTATCCCAGTGCTTTGTGGTGGGGTGAGGACCAACTGCAGGTCGTGCTCACACGTGGCTGTTCTTTTGCTGCTGGGACACAAAATATGACCGTTGCTGGATTCTCCACTTTTCGTGGGCACGTTTTGCTAAACTCCCCCTTGGCGACCCGTTTGTCTCAGATTTGAGGACCAGAATTTGAACTACCGGGGATCATTGTAAAGCCGTAAAGACGTCCTTTGCGTCAAACTTTGCGTGTCTGCTTTTGCGCAGTCTAAGTTCCTGGAATAGTTTGCATATTTCTAACTTGCCACTCCGTTTTTGCTGGTATCTTGAGTCATTGAGTACATCGCCCAGGGTGCAAAGATCTTCCCTGATTGCGAACCAGTGAAGCTCAAGCAACTTGGATTTTCGAGGTCATGGCTTACAAATTGGCATCCAGATTCATAGGAATAGATTGGAATCCAATTTGTGGTGTATTTCTGGTTAGTACATGTTAGTACCATATTCATATTCAATAATAAATACAGCATATATAATACACCATCATTGATTCTAAGTAATATATATATATATATTACAGTAGCCATGTATTGATCCATTGGCGCCCCAGCCAGGTATCTGTACGAGAAACTCATCTACAAAGATGCCATCGTTGCTCACCCGGGCATCTCGATGTCAGGCGTGGGGATCATGACCAAAACGCTCACGATGTGTCATTGCTTTGTGAAGGTGGATTTGAAGATTCATGGTCTAGATTTCGAGTTTTTGTTTATTGTTGTAGTTATAGTTATTGTTTAGGTATAGTTGTTGTCCTTGTAACTCTAAATTCTCAATTTGGAGTTTGTCAAATCATCTCAAGATGCTCCTGAAAGGCTGGGAGATGTTCGGCCTGGGTTTGGTGAAGCTGGTGATGATCAGCATATGCGAAGGTGCTGGCTTCGTGGGGGGGTCCCATCTATCCCATCATCTTCGCCACTGGGGCCATGGGCAGTGCCCTGGGGGCCTCCAGCTGGGTCTCGGTGCTCGGGGGGGCAATACGTCTACATTTGCACCGCTGCAGCCATGAGCACAGGACTGGCAGCCCTGCTGCACACGCAGGTCTTTGGAATCTTGATCGTCATGGAGCTGCAGGCCAACATTCCGCATGGCAGCGTGAGCTCCCAAACCATTGCGCTGATGACCGCGGTCTATTCCTTCTACCTGTGGCCTGGTCCGTTTCGTTGGGTTTCAGAGTTTACGGTAGATTTTCTTGGAAAAAGCCGTGAGAAGTTGGAGAAGGTTAGAGTTTCTAGTAAATCCCATGAAAATTGGAGACGCTTAAAGCGGCTCAAATTGGACCAGACAAAGATCACATTTTATGCATTTGATGCATTTTCCAGTCTCCAAGAAGTTGTGGGGCCTAATGATGTTCAATGTCTCCCCAAAGTCTCAGCCACTCCAAGGCTCACGCGGAACTATGTGACCTGGCATTCCAGACCAAATTTGGATCATATTCGGTATATCTGGGCTCACTTTGTACCCTTGCTTGGGTGTATAATCCAAAAAAAGAGGTCACAAGTTGCTTGCGCATTGTGTTGGCGGTGTGTTTTTCTCAAAGTAAACGAGCGATTTTGGACAGTTAGTTTTTTCTTCTGATGTTTTGGTCAGTTTTTTCGCTTCAGGTGGCACCGTACTTCCAGTTGGTGTCCCAGCAGAAGCCGCGGCAGGATCTGCAGTACGTGACCCCTGAACCTGAAGCGGACTCTGACTCGGATGAGACCACAGACACAGACCTGGAAATGGAAGCTTGGAATTGAACATCAAGATTTTTGTTTTTTCGGTTTCCGAGGGTGGCCACTTTGAAGATGGTGCCCTTCCCAGGAGCGAGTGCGAACCGACACAGAAGTGGTGGGCACCTTATCCGAGACCACCGGCAGTGATGGTGATGAAGTGGAGCCAAAGTCTACCAAGAGCTCCAGGTACTGAGTTAATGGGATGGGTCCCACATGCACTTCAGAGTTTTTTCACAGCCTTGTAAGCCCAAGTTGATTGACATTCTGCATATTTCATGTGTTCCCTGGGTGTCTTACCACCTTTGGTCTCCCTGCAGGAAACCGTCCAGTCCGCAGCTTTAGCAGGCAAACCGCGGCAAACCCGTTGAAGGCTTGCTGCGACTTGGTGACAAACCCAGTTGGACAACGACCAACGAA